AAATTCATTTGAAAATTCATTTACTGATGAATATTTTATTGGGCAGTTAATTATTAATTCATGAAATGCTATAATTCTGTGTGTGTGACCCTCCTGGTGCTCTATGAAATAGTCCCAATGTTCTATTAGCCGAATTAGCTTGTCTAAGATTCTGACTTACTATTACTCATTTCTTGAGTACTTGAGTGTAAAATATCTATCAGATGCCTCATATTTCTGACAGTGAGGCAACATTCTCTACTGTTTCTTGTCCATGTGGGTCACATCTATTTGTAAAGTTTAACACATTTTGAATATTATACTATTTAGTTCAGTATGTCCAAATCTGTAAATTAGTCTATTATTTCTCCTGTATTTTTAATCATAGCTTTCCTTTTATCACTCATGTTCCCTTAAATTTGGTAAACTTAAAGACATCATTCTGACTGTTCTTCTACCCCAGTGCAGTTTCTTAACACTGAATTTAAAATGTATTTGTTTGATCCAAAGGGCCCTATCATCCACCAAAGCAGAAACTGCATCCCATTCCCTTTTAAATTATTGAGACAAGTAATAGAGATTCCTTGCGATGTTTAATTTTCAAAAAACAATTTCTTCCATACTTTTTGCTTATTCAGACTTGCTTAAGTCGTCTGCTTAAAGAAATGCCTTCCATCCAGTCTTTGATACCTAACATGGCTTAATCATTAATGTTTGGTTATCATTCTTTCTGTATCACACTATTGGCCAGAGTTTAACTATAAATGTTTCTATTATAATAAACAAATGACACATTTATTGCCCCTAAGCCCTTTAAAACCCTTCATAAAACCATACTTTCTTAAAACGCCTGTTTCCTCATTCTCCTTCTCACATGAGCAGACCCCACCTTGTTATTGGTAATATAAAGACTTTGAAGTAAATAATTTACTTTGAAGCTTAGGTGACAAAAGTAAGGAGCTAAATAATTCTGTTCTTTTAGGCAATTTCATCTGACTGAGGATTTATGAAATCATGATTTTTTTTTATTAAATCTCGAGATGGAATCTAAGCGACCCATTAGTCCTCCAGTGCGAATGGTGTTTTCATTTGGGATTCACATCATAAATAATAGTACTGCAGAATTTCTCAGTGGTACACGTGGATTGTTTAAATGTGTATTGTTCTTTAAGCCATAATAGTCTTACAGACTCATAAACTGGACACAGTGAGGAAACTGGATGAGTGGTGGAGAAGATGGTGGAGACAGAATGTCATTTAATGAAGATAGGTGTAAATTTGTGGTGTGCTATTAGCCTGCTAATGCAGATACTCCAGCTCCACGTCAAACGTGTTTTTACTGACATTAATGACTCTGCAAGATAAAGGCAGATTATTTATGATTTTGGAGATTGTCAGAACTTTGTGGTCAATATTAAAGTCAGGTCACAGAAAGATAAGACAATAAGACAACAAATGAACCAAGTTACTTGGTTTTCAAAACAAAGCTATGTTAATCAATTTTTAAAAAGAAGAATATTACAACACACTGCTAAGTTACAGTGGGGCAAAAAAGTATTTAGTCAGCCACCGATTGTGCAAGTTCCCCCACTTAAAATGATGACAGAGGTCAGTAATTTGCACCAGAGGTACACTT